GGAAGGGGAAAGAGAGAGAGGAAGGAGGGGAGGATTTTAGGACGTATGTGAAATTTTACATTATGATTATGAATTTCAAGAATATGTATAGTTAGATTGTTCAAATGTGTTACTTTTGTGGATCGATTTTTGTTTGTATATGTGATTTTCGTGTGTATTGCTTGATTCATGGTTGAATTTTATGAATATTGTTGTAAGTTAGTATATATTCGCAAATTTTAGATTTTTGGTTGGATTTTGATGTATATTGTCGTGAATGAGGTGGAAATTTTATGTATATTATTGTGAATGAGGTGAAAATTTCGTGTAAATTATTGTGAATGAGGCAGAAGTTTTTATGTATATTATTGTGAAATTTCATGTATGTATATAAGAAACATGCACCAATTCTATGCATATTTGGGGCAAACCTACAACTCCACGGGATTTTAAATCCCATATAAAATCTCGTGGAGTTGCAGGCCACCTCGCCAGAGAGTGATGCCCTCTAGAATTTGGCTTGCAACTTCACGAGATTTGAAATCTCGTGAAGTTTAAGCTTCACGGTATTTCAAATCCAGTGAAGATTTGTCACCCTTAACGAGCTTGTTAATAAGTTGCTTAAACTTCATATGATTTTAAATCACGTGAAGTTTTTTAACTTTATTTACAAATTTCTACCAGTTTCAGCTAGGTAGCTGAAACTGTGTCAAAATTTGTAATTAAAGTTGAAAGGGGTCAATTTTTGGAATTAAATTTCTAAATAGGTCTAAAACAAAAATTTGCCATATATATATACACCTAGGGTGTAACTAACTTAGTTACACCCACTTGTAAAAGTACCTATTTGAGTGTAAATATTAACGATCAATATCGTTTATTGTGATCTATGTGTTCAAAACTTTATGGAGGCAAAAAATCACATAGATAAGATTTTTCTAGTTTATACATCTAATGACATAGAAATGAACGGTCTGTAATGGGCTAAAGTGCTCATTATTTTGAGTTACTTGAATTGTAGGACAGAACTTTCCAAACCACATGATTTTTGATCCACGCTCATTTGGTGACATGTAGATCACAATGAATGGATATCGATTGCCAAACATGTATTTTTAAAGATATGTGTAACTAACCTAGTTACACCCTAGGTGTATTATAACCCTACCATATATATATATATATAT